GAATCTTGGTCTGCCATTCTATCCCTTTAGTTACTGTCTTACAATATATATATTGTTTATTTCTTCTACTCACAATCACTTGTGCTAGTCCATTAATTGTTTCTTTGTGAGGTCTTTTAGAAAAAGAAAGCAAGTTTTAGAAAAAGTGACTCATATCTCAGCTAGTTTTTAGATAACCTAATTCACCCTCCTCTTAGGTTGTCTTCGATCCTTACAATTGGTATCAGAGCTTCATCTCCCAGAGATTAAGCTCAATCGGTTTGGGAGTAAAAATGACAACCAACAATGCCATGTTCTTTGAGGGACAATCTGTCACTAGACCTCCAATGTTCAATGGGTCAAACTATGTGAGTTGGAAGGAGAGGATGATCATTTTCTTACAATCTATTGATATTTAGTTATGGTTTATTGTTAATGAGGGTCCATATGATGCTTCTATTATTGATGATAATACTCATAGGTCGAGACCAAAAACAAGAAGTGAGTTGACTGCTGAAGATAGAACTCATCTTATTCTAAATGCTAAGGCTATGAATGTTTTATATAGTGCTCTAGATTCAAATGAGTCCATTAGAGTCAAAGGCTGCAGATCTGCAAAAGAAATTTGGGATAAATTTAGAGAAATCCATGAAGGAAGCAAGAATGTAAGAGAACAAAAGAAGTCCATCCTGGTCATTAAGTATGAATCCTTTATGATGAAACCTCATGAAAACATTGACAAGATGTACTGCAGATTCAATGATCTTATCAAGGATTTAAAAGTGCTTGAGAAGAACTACTCTCTGGGTGAGAAAAACAGAAAAATTATGAATGCCTTATCAAAGGATTGGGAGAGTAGTACCATAGAGGAAGCTAAAGATCTAAATATCTTACCTATTGAATCCCTTATTAACTCTCTAACCTCTTATGAGCTGAAACTCAAATCCAAGGTGCAGGAAGAAAAAGACACAAAAATGAGGAGGAGTATTGCTTTGAAAGTTTCACAAGATAAAGATGATACAGCCTCCCTGGATGGAGAAGATATGGAAGGTGATGATAGTGACATTGCACTCATCACAAGAGGCTTCAAAAGAATACTCAACAAGAGGAGATTCAGAAAAGGTGGTCCGAGCAATTCCTTCCCGAATCAGTCCAACAACTTGAGAAATAAAGGGAAATTAGAGTTTAACAAAAAGCAAACTGATAAGTGCTTTGAATGCGGCCAACCTGGATACTATGCAAATGAGTGTCCAATAAAAGGAAGAAGGAGAGCAAGGTTGAACGAAAACCAAGGTTCAACAATTTTCAGATCACCTGGAATGACTGCAATTCAAAAGGTGAAGTCGAAAAAGAAGAGGAATCTGCCCAAGTGGCCTTCATGGCCATTGGTGATGAAGAGGCGAACTTGGTAAACATTGTTAAAAAATCAAAATGGTTCATAGATAGTGGATGCTCAAGACATATGATTGGTGATGCATCACAGTTCATCAAGCTCAAGTCAAAAGCAAGTGGAAAGGTAACTTTTGGAAATGATAATAAAGCCAAAACTGTTGGAATTGGTGATGTTGGTAAGAACGGTCAAACTTTTGTTCATAATGTCCTTTAATTTGACAACCTGAGCTATAACCTGCTAAGTGTTAGCCAATTATGTGATAGGAACCCGTTTGTGTTATTTAACAAACATGAATGCCTTGTTCTTGACTCAAAATTCAACATTATTTTCAAAGGAAAAAGAGTTAATGACATTTATGTAGTTATTCTTGAAAAAGTTGATTCTTCCAGCCTTAGTTGTCTCAAAGTAGCAAATGAGGATCCCTGGTTGTGGCATAGAAGGCTTTGTCATTTCAATATGGATTTGCTAAAAGAGATTTCCCAAAAGAAACTGGTTAGAGGGTTTCCAAAACTCAACTTTAGTAAAGACCGTATCTGTGATGCTTGCCAATTTGGAAAAAAAATCAAGGTATCTTTTAAACCCAAGAAATGTGTTTCTACTACAAAGCCCTTAGAACTCTTACATCTTGATCTTTTTGGTCCTACTCAAACCACAAGCCTAGGTGGCAAAAGATTCTGTTTTGTTGTTGTTGATGACTATTCTAGATACACTTGGGTGATGTTTATTGCACATAAAGATGATGCTTTCAAAAACTTTGTTTCTCTGTTTGCTAAGGTTCAGAATCTGATTGGTTTGAAAATTATAAAAATCCGAAGTGACAACGGCACAGAATTTCGTTTTTGTGGGTTTCCAGAATTTTATAACAACAATGGCATTACACATGAGTTTTCTATTGCTAGAGTTTCCCAGCAAAATGGAGTGGTTGAAAGGAAAAATAAAACTCTTCAAGAGGCAGCTAGAACCATGCTTAGTGAATGCAATTTACCAAAATACTTTTGAACTGAAGTTATAAACACTGCCTGTTATACCATGAACAGAGTTCTTTTAAGACCAATCTTGAACAAAATTTCGTATGAGTTGTTGTTTGATAAAAAGCCTGTTGTTGGTTATTTTAAAGTTTTTGGCTGCAAATGCTTCATTCTAAACATCAAGGAGCATCTTGGTAAGTTTGATAAAAAATCTGATGAGTGGATCTTCTTGGGATATTGTGAAAATAAGAGAGGTTTTAGAGTTTATAATCGTAGAACTCTGGTTATAGAGGAAACTATACATATCACTTTCGATGAATCTAATGGTGACATTTCCATGAGTTGTGGTGAAGATGATGATGCATGTGTTCAAGAAGAACTAAAGAAGCTAACAATCAGTAACCAAGGTACAGCTTCATCAGAAAATGATTCAAAGGAAGATGAAAATTAAGACAGTCCTGCTAGGGAAGACAATGGCAGAGACATTACCATTCCTAATGATCTTCCAAGAGCCTGGAAATTTGTCCAAAACCATCCTAAGGAACTTATCATTGGTGATCCATCCGAAAAGGTCAGAACACGTTCCTCTTCTAGACAACTAATAGATAATTTTGCATTGGTCTCACATTTTGAGCCCAAAAATGTTGTTGATGCATTGAAAGATGAAAACTGAATTTTAGCCATGGAAAAGGACTTAAATCAATTTAAAAGAAACAAGGTTTGGACATTAGTTACTAGACCACAAGATCATCCTATCATTGGCACTAAGTGGGTATTTAGAAACAAAATGAATGACAAAGGTGAGGTAGTTAGAAATAAGGCCAGATTGGTGGCTAAGGGATATACTCAAGAAGAAGGAATAGATTTTGATGAATCATTTGCACCCGTAGTTAGGTTAGAATCTATTAGAATGTTTTTGTCTTTTGCATGTTTCAAGAATTTTAAATTATTTCAAATGGATGTTAAAAGTGCTTTCCTAAATGGTTTTATAGATCAAGAAGTTTATGTTGATCAACCTCTTGATTTTGAAAATGAAATTTATCCAAATCATGTTTTTAAATTCTCAAAAGCTTTATATGGATTAAAACAAGCTCCAAGAGCATGGTATGAATGTTTGAGTGATTTTTTGATTGAAAATGGCTTCAAAAAAGGTATAGTGGATACTGCTATTTTCACTAAACAAAGTTCACGTGATCTTCTAATTGTACAAATATATGTGGATGATATTATATTTGGTGCTACTAATGAGAGCTTGTGCAAGGACTTTTCCAAAATCATGCAAAAAGAGTTTGAAATTAGCGTGATGGGAGAATTAAATTTCTTCCGTGGACTTCAAGTGACACAAACTCAAGATGGAACATTCATCAATCAAACCAAATACACCAAGGAACTGCTAAAAAGATTTGGAATGGAGGATTCAAAGCAAGTTGGAACACCCATGTGCACATCTACCAAGCTTGACAAAGATGAAGAAGGTACAAAAATTGATGAAAAGAAGTATAGAGATATGACTGGTAGCTTGCTTTACTTAACAGCTAGTAGGCCTGATATCATGTTTGCTGTGTGCTTGTGTGCTAGTTTCAGTCTTGTCCAAAGGAATCACATTTAAATGCGGTAAAAAGAATCTTTAGATATTTAAAAGGAACTTTGAATTTTGGCATTTGGTATCCTAAGTGTCATGAACTTCTCTTGTGTGGATTCTCTAATGCTGATTTTGTTGGCTGTAGAGTAGATAGAAAACATACAACTGGTATATGTAACTTCCTTGGAAATTGCTTAGTATCCTGGTTCAGCAAGAAACAGAATGCTATCTCATTGTCTACAACCGAAGCAGAATATGTTGCTGCTGGTACTTGCTGTGCTCAATTGTTGTGGATGAAAAACACATTGAATGATTTTGGTTTGGTGTATAATTGTGTGCCTATGTTTTGTGACAACACTAGTGCCATCAATTTGACAAAAAATCCCATTCAACATTCTAGGACCAAGCACATAGACATTAAGCATCACTTCATTCGCGATCTTGTCCACAAGGGTGAAATTTGTGTTCAATATGTTTGTTCTAAAGATCAAATTATTGATATTCTCACCAAAGCCCTTCTACTGGATCAATTTGTGTATCTGAGAACAAAACTGGGTGTTTCATAAAAAATTCTCTAAGTTTCTCTTTAGTCACTCTTTATCGGACATTCGATGGATTAGAACGGACGTTCGACAGTGTTCTTCATCCCTTTTCCAGAAAAATTTGGGTTCGGACGGTTTCGTCGGACGTGTCACTTCGTTCGGCCGTCTGACACTCAAAAATTGCTTCATATAAGGAAGTCACCTATCTCATTAAGTTCATTTACTTTCTTAGTCTCGGACGCAACCCTTCAGTTTTTCTCTCAAAATTTAAATTTCAAATTACTCTCTCCTCTAATCAAGTTCCAAGAAATTGATTCAATCAACACCATTACACTCCTATTGCCCGTTATCTGGATGTAATAACCTCTTCCAACTTCCAGCTGCCTCATAATTCCCAATTCGCATCCGAAGCCCTAAGCTCTCAAAACTTACTCCTTGTGGTTGGTTCGTGCATCAACATTAGTTCATATTGCATTCTTCATCTATCTCATACACTCTGCACCACTCCCTACATCAACATCCAACTACATTACATCATGGTTAGATTTAGAGGTGGTTCTGTGGGGGTCGGACGCTCTTTTAGACTTAGGGATGAGGATATTGAAATTGTGGAACCCTTCACCAAAGCATCCAAAAAGAAAACTACAAATCGAAGTGGAAAGGTGAAGCAAACTGCTCAAAGGAAACGAGATGCTCCAACTGTTGAGCCATCTGATGAGCAGATGGAAGAGCATCACTCTGAAGAAAATCCAGTAAGTAGGAATGCAGAAGAAATGGAAGAGCCCACCCATGCTGAAGTAACTGTCACGAAATCACCTGGGAGAAGAAAAAGATCTGCCCAAAAGAGAAGCACTGCTCAATCTAATGTAGAAAAAAATGCTGAGGATCAGCACACCCCTGAACCATTTACCAGAAAATCTGCACGGACAAGGGCTGAGGTTCAGAATACTGAGTCGTCTGGCAAACAAACTGCAAAAAGGAAACATTCTGCAAAGGAACCAGAGACTCAACCTGCCAAGGAACCTACTCCTCTGCCAAAATTTATTGATGATGAGGCCAGAGACAGATTTGAGTTGGTCTCACAAAAGGGATTCATCACTCAAAGGACCATTTCTCCTTTTGAATTTCATAAGCTTGACCTCGAACCTATCATTAAACTTTTTGAGTTCCAAAATGGGTTCATCTTCTGTCCATCCCCAATACTTTTTACCCTGATATGCTTCATTAGTTCTTTGCAAATCTTAAAAAGGGTAATTCACACATAGAACTCTTCTCTAGGGTCAACTCTGTAGACATCACATTAACTCCTGACATGTGAACTCTATTCTGAAAACAAGAATTGAAGATGGTTTTAAAGGAAAAGTTACAAATTTCTTTTCATATGAGGAATATCCTTCCGCTTATTATCATTTTTACGTTGCTAAACTCATGACCTATTTTCAATCGCACTTCAACACTCCTCCTGGGGCAAGATTAGAAGATCTTAGCCCTCAGAACTTGATCACTTTTACCATCATTTCAAATCTGTTGGTGCCCACTGATGACCACAGAGCTGATGTGAACAAAATGGAGCTTTATCTATTTTACTGTTTTGTTGAAAAAATCAGAATTGACTTTGGGTTTGTGATGTGTAAATTTCTGCTCAAGATTAGCTCTAATAGTCGTAGGAAGCTCTCTTATGGAAAATTTCTGACTCCTATCTTTGCCCATTTTAAAATTCCTTTTACTGGAAAATCACCCAAAGACAGTGCATCAACAGTTTTCTCACAAGCATATTTTGAAAGAAAGAATCTAAAATTTTTTGAGAGCCGTTGGTGTTATAAGGAGACAGTTGCAGAGACTAGGAGAAAGAACCTTCACGAAACCCCTGTCTCTCCTAGGACTCCTCGTGATCAGTCCATGTATGTCTCTCCATTCACCATCCACCCTAGAAAATCAGCCACCAAGTCACTCTCTTCCAATTCTGAGGTCATCTCCTTGCTTGAGGACCTCAAACAGCATGTTCTGCTCAATGAAGATGGTCTCATGATGACCATGTCCCCTGCCCAGCAGTCTATTTTTATTGAAAAAAGGAATTTCCTTGTGCCTCCAATCCCAGAATTCAATGAAAATGCTCATCAAAACGAGCCAAGCCTCAGCCCACAGAGCATACTCCTGGTACTGAAGCCACTCCAGAAGCACATGCTTCCAGCTCTCAGCCCAAAGATAAAGGCAAGGCTCCAGTAACTGAGGAGGCAACTGAAGAAGATGATGAAGAGACTGAGGAGGAAGACCAAGTGGATCCTGGGCAGTTTCGTCTAACCAGGAGAAGGCCTGGATCGTCTAAAATCACCATCTAGGCACTGCTAGGACACTGCACTTTATCATTAGGACAATAGTTCATCTTTTGCCCAGAAAAACCTTTACTATGCTATGTATTAAGGATCATATTCCTCTATTGTTCTGTAAAACTGGTGCTATTCTGTTAACTGATGTTTGTTTTTATGTTTCTTCTCTGAATGAATGTCTTTATCCTTTGCGGTGAATGATTCTGGTTGGCTTTTCTTTTTTGCTGATTACTGCCTGTTTGGATTTTGCTGATTCTGGATGGATGCTGATACTATTACTGATATTGTTGGATATATTTTGTCTGATTGATAATTCCTATTGAATGTTGATAAATCTGTTTGGTACAAATATTGATCGTATGACTGTTTTATGATGACAAAAAAGGGGAGAAAATGGTTATGGAACTTATAAGTGAGAGGGAGTTGCGAATACTCTTGATATGGAATCTATAAGTAAGGGGGAGTCGGTTTGAGGGGGAGTTACGAATACTCTCGCATTATGCAAGGGGGAGCTGCAATCAAAATTCTAAAATTTCTTTTTTCTCCATCCAATATTTTGTCATCATAAAAAAGGGGGAGATTGTATATCTCAGACCATAACTTTTGATGATTACAAAACAATTGGATGTTACTAATATTCTTTGAAGAGATTGTTTCAGGAATTGGAACAAAAACAAGGTCAAAGACTTGAAACCAAAACAGGATCAAAGATTGACAAATTGCTGAAATAGCTGTCGGACGCACAAAAGGACCATATCAGACGGCCGACAACCATTGAGTATCTTCGGACACATGAAGAACTCACACTCGGACGTCCGAAGATAATAAGCCAAGTCTTCTATGATCACTGACCTCGATCGGACACATAATACCTCAGTACCGGACGTCTGACAAACGTTGCGGTGCTTCGGACGTAAAATACTGAGAGCACCGGACGTCCGAAAGAAATTAAGAAGGATTTACATGTATACATCTTACCTTTGGACGTATATTGTGGAAGGACCGGACGTCCTAAGAATCTCAAGAAAATCTCTTGAACTTACTGTTTTCGTTCGGACGCAGAAAATTAGAGTGCGGACGTCCGACACCACCAACGGCTAGTTGACTCTTCAGCTGCCTTCTATCCATTGACAGCATTAATTGAAGAATTTTTTGGTCTCCTATAAATAGAGAATAGTCAACTACTTCAAAATAACTTTGCACATTAAGTCTACATCAGATCTTGAGTGATTCAAGTGTAAGAATACTCCAAAAAGAAGATTTGTACTCTTAGTTGTGTAATCTTCATTTAGCTTTTCAAGTGTGATTTAGTTTTTTCAATAGTGTAGCTTTGTTAGGGTTATCCGAGTGATTGTAAAACTTCCTTACTTGATCGAGTGAGACTTGAGGCAAGTAGGAAGTGATCCTTCCTTTGTACACAAGAGATTGGTTGTAAGTTGATCAACTTGAAGAAACTTGGTATATAAAGTGATATTCAAACTTAAGTCAAGTTTGAATCTTGGTCTGCCATTCTATCCCTTTACTTACTGTCTTGCAATATATATATTGTTTATTTCTTTTACTCACAATCACTTGCGCTAGTCCATTAATTGTTTCTTTGTGAGGTCCTTTAGAAAAAGAAAGCAAGTTCTAGAAAAAAGTGACTCATATCTCGGCTAGTTTTTAGATAACCTAATTCACCCCCCTCTTAGGTTGTCTTCGATCCTTACAGTGATTCCTATAAACAATGTTTAACTACCTATTTACATTAGCTTTTGAGGCGTTGTTATGCACAAATTGAAAGTCATCCTACAAGACAAATGAAACTGTAATAATATTGAAATAAAAGTTTATATCACAAGACAAAGGCATAAGTATGTTGCTTGAGTATAAAGAGCAAACTAGTGTGTTCAAGAAGTGATTTAAGGAAAATGATACCAGTACGGTAACTATATTGTCTATGTCATCTCTATCTTTTGGCTCTATATATGACTATTTCACAATATTAAGTCTTCCAAACTTCCTTACAACACAACCACCCTCACTAATGAAGTACTGAGAATCCTTTCCTACTATGCACTAAATGTAAGGATCAACTTTAATTGTTAGAGTCTCCTTACCCTCTCTTTTTCAAACCAATGTAATATCTCTAGTATGCCCCTTTTTTCACCAATGTGACATCTATGATTAGATATAAATCTAGAAACTGAGTTGACTATATAAGCATCACAACAGCTTTAATATTTGAAACAAAAGAACACAAATTACGAAAAATGCCAAAAAGAACTTGGGTACCGAAACTACTATTTTGACCATCTCTAGAAGATGGAATCGTCTCATTTGCACCAGATGCATGTGACTCAAAAGTTTAAGGGTGCTCATTATTTGAACCATCTGTAAGAGCTCTAGATGAAGATGTTGGAGCCACAAAAGCATAAGTGCCTTTTGACCTTGTACTTCTGGATGCAACTTGCTGCTAGTTGGCCCCATTTGCATGTATGGATTGTGTTGCTTTTCGGGCAATTGTCGTCAAAGTGCTTGCCCTCTTGTTCTTGGTCCAACCATTTGAAATCAAGAAACTTTAACCAAAATGAAAAAAATATTCACTGCAGTGGAAGTATATCTTTATATCTACTTTAATAAGCAAAATCCAATCAATTAAACGAATATAAAAGGCATGTTACACAATTAACTCTTTCCTAGTGATAGCATATTTATTAACTTCAGAGAGTTGAATCGATGTAACCTAGTCTAAATCATTCTCATTATCACTAATAATATCTCATTTTCTTCATTATGGCAACCCTCACATTCATCCACATCATCATCATCAATGAACTCTTCATCTGCTTGTTTATTGCTATTCGTTGACCAATCAGCATGAACAAGGAATGAAGGTACAGATTTTAATGGATTGCTATCTTCTCTTGAAAGTGTTAGGGGTTTATCGAGGTCTATTATAATAGAGAATTCTCCTTTTGCTTCCTCTCGATATATCTCCTCAACAACTAGCTCCTTGTCTATATGTTCTGGAACATCATAAGAGTTTCATGGGCTAAAGCTAGTTTCTACGAAATTTTAGGTCCTCAATATAAAACACTTGCTCCATATGTTGAGGAAGGACATAGGGTTGGTCTTGATACCATCTTCTTGATTGACACTTGTTATACCCCAGTCCTTGTGATGCCCCGAAAAGAATGAGAGTGAGAACCCAGAAATTTTCTAATTTTCTAGGGTTTATTTTATTTAATCGCCCGCCTTTTCTACATTTTCTTTATTAGAAAAATTCCCCAGATAAATTTTATGAGCAAAAATAGTTTTAAAATGATTTTTCTAGTATCGGGTAGTTTTTGAGAATATAAGAGCGTATACCGGACGTGGGACCCACTAGTGTGATAAGTGCGGTAAATGTGGTTCATTTGGAGTAGCTTTGTATATATGGTTTATATTACATGGTGTTATGAGATAATTAGGGGTTTGGTTAGTTCATTAATTCTTGCAAGACAAAAGAAATGAGATAAGCTTGGAATGGACACATGTTGCCTTGTGATTGGAGCTTGGCATTTGACTAGTCTTTCTTTACCTTTACTAAACCAATTTTGACCAAAAATTGTCTTTCATTTTCACCTTCTTGGTCGGCCAACTCTAGAGAGAAAAGAAAGAGAGCTCTTCAATTTTTGCTCCCTTTTCTTGGCCAAATCTTGTAATCCAACCATTTATTTCTCAAATTCCTTCATAAAACTTACTTACTAGGAGTGATTGAAGTGCTTGGTGGTTTTTGTTTGGAGGGAGAGACTCTCATCTACCTTGTATCTAGTGTTTGTAAGGCGAAGGCGGGCTAGACGGAGCCGGTGGGGCCCACTAGCTGGCGACTTGAATTCATTTCCGTACTTTCTCTCGTTATACTTGCTCTTTAGGTGAGTGATCAGGATTTCTGTGTAACTCAATACAAAAAATGAGTTTACTATGAATGGGCACTTAGGCGAGGGTGTACTTTATCGCACTCGATCTAAACCCCATTAGTTGCTATTCATACCTGTGAAATATGATTTTTATGATTTGTTATAGAGCATTCATGGCTTGTGAATATTTGCAGAGCATTTATTGCTTGAACCAGAGCATTTATTGCTTGAGAGCATTTATTGCTTGAACCAGAGCATTTATTGCTTGAACTAGAGCATTTATTGCTTGAAAAATATTTTAGAGCATTTATTGCTCGTGACTTGGGCAAGAGAAGTGAGCTGTGTAGCTCAGGATCTTAAGGGTCAACCAATGATCAAACTCGACAAAAGAGTTGGCTTGGGAGCCACCCGTATCCTTACTATGTAGTGTTACTTTTCTGCTTTTGCTTTGCTCTTACTGGTCAAATGTTGACATGTAAAAACTACATTTTTACCCCTGGTTACTCACTAAGCATATAGCTTACCCCATTCTATTTGTTTTCCTTAGCAGGGGGCCGACGCGGGGATCGCTCGGGAAGGTGTTTAGATAAGTTGAACTTGTACTTGTTAGAAGTGGACTAGTAAGTTGTATATATTTGTCATGGTGGTTAGAGTTATCAGCTTTTCTAGGGTACTTCTGGTACTCGTGGTTTGTATAACTTGATATACTCGTTTATGTAATTATTGCAGAATTTGATGTAATTTTTGAGATTTATATTGTAATCTGTTTGAGGAATGTAGTGAGCGACTGAGTCCCGGCGAGAGCCGGGCAGGCGACCCGCCGAACCCTCTGGTTCGCCTTAGGGGGAGGTGGGGCCGTCACAATCCTTGTCTATTTGCATACTAGCATTATCATTTATCTTCTACCAATCACACTTAAACAAGATTTTTAGTTTCCAATCCAGTACCTCACTTTAATAATTTCTTTTACAATACCATAAAAATAATTGATATTATTTCCATGCTTATCTTTCATTACGATACCACTATTTTGTATTTTTCTATCTCGCTCATGGTTTTTGGTGTGAAACTTGTATCCATTAGCCATACAACCCGTATATGTGCAAACTATATTGTCTAGACTATAAATGC